CATGCTTGTTACCTTAGGTCTCTGCACCTTTCACAAGGCAAAATGAGTTTTGAGTATATCAGTGGGTCTTTGACATGAACTTAAGGCACTTGGAGCCCTGGACAATCGGTTTTTTTGTTTTAAAGAATAGATACCTCAAATACATAATATATATGTATGTAATACAAAGGCTCGATAGCTCAGCAAAACTTCTAAGACTGGCCCTGCGGCAAGGAGAAATGCCAGCAGCCCTGCAGCTGATGAATGGCTACACATAATTGTCCACGCCTTCATTAATTCATTTACAAGATGTGAAGACTATCTGCAGTGAGTCTGGGTTCTTGTGCTCTTCTCATCTGATAAAGGACAGAGCACTGCCCATGCAAATATAGACTGCTTTGATAAAAGGAAATCACACACGGTTGGAATCCAGTGGGAATAATGAGACTGTTGCAGCAGTCTACAAAATCACACAGGAGTGACTGCTGCTGCCTGTACAAAGTAAGCACAGATGCTTAATAAGGCAGGACATGCTATAGAACACAGGACTATTTGAAGGTCGTGTCTGCATTACAAAGTTAAATAAGTTTTGTCAATTACCATAAGTTGCTTTAATAACATTGGTGGAACATGTCCACATAATGTTCCTTTTCTTGGATGAGCACATCCACAGTTGTTGCTCCTGCATCCACAGAGAGTTGTATTATGGGTAGCAATCCCACAGTGCATTGTGGGTAGCAATTGCCTCCTTTTTTCCACTGGGAGTTCTGGGAACGGATTGTGGAGCATTCATAGAGACATGCTCCTTGTCCCATGACACAGATCTTTCTGTCCCATCGTTCCATGGGTTTCCTACTTCATTTCATGCCACTTTTCAGCCACAGTGGATCCATCGGTACTAGGCTCAGGAAACCAGGCATGGAGTGGTGGTATCACATTGTGATTCAGGGATGGAAAGATGAGCAGTGGTTGCAGAACTTGTGAATGTGCAAAGCCACTTTCCTGGAACTGTGTGCAGAACTCGCTCTTGTCCTGCTGTACAAGGAGACCAGAAAGAGCTTCCCTCATGGTGGAAAAGTGAGTGGTAGTTCCTGTGTGGAAGCTGCCATCTCCAAACTGCTACTGGTCAGTTGCAAATCAGTTTGCATTCGGAAAATCCATGATGGGAGCTGTGGGAGATGTAAGCGTGCAGGGCAATTAATTGCCTCCTTCTTCTAAAGTACCCTGTGACTTTGGGTAATGTGCAGGAAATAATTGATGGCTTTTGAGATTCCCTGATTGCGGGGGGCCGATAGATGGAACACATATTCTGGTTTTGACAAGAATCCCTTATAATGCAATACCAAGCTCCCTGAAATACATTGGTATGATGGACTGAAGTTGCTGTTACGGTTAATTAAACACATAATATGTCTGCTTCTTTAAAAACAGGTAAATATTTTGTATTACACATCAGAAGATGTGATATTTCAATATTTTTGAGTGAGTTGTATTCTTAATTTTGGTGGTAATTACAAAGATGGCTGGTTTTAGATATTTTGGGGTGCCTGTTAGATGGAAAAATTAAGTACATGAAAGAGTATTTTAAAAAATCAGTTGCATTCTACTTCAGGTACATTTTTTCAATAATCTTTGGGCCATTGTATTTGCTTTCTGTAAACAAGTGCTGTACAATTTTCAATTACTGGAGTGTTTTAGAACCATTAAATGTAATATAACTAAAGATCAATGTTGTTTAGTTAAGTTTGTAGGCAATTAAACTAAAATTTTGCCGTGATGATAAATAGTAAAGGACTCTCTTTAATAGTAAATAATTTTTTTGTAATATTTTTTCATGTAACTGTTTCCTATAAACTGCATAGTATCTTCTGTATCATAACCTATATATTTTTTTATTTTCACAGCAATAGAATTTGGTGATGATAGCATGAATGATGCAAAGAACCTCCTTCAGGCAATCTCTTACTTCATTAGTGATGCCAATGCTTATATGAAAGGACAGCTGGTGTGTGATCCCATTAAGGAAGACATACTGTGGGAGATGTGAGTGTATGTGTGTGCGTGTATATACACGTATATACAGCCACTCTCCGAGTTACGAACAAGTTACGGACTAACACTTGCTCCATAACTCGAACTGTTCGTAAGCGCGGGTCGTGTTCGTAACTCGGTGACCGCCTTACGACCGCTTCATGGGGGCTTTGGTTATAAGTGCGAACAGTCGTAACTCAACCGTTTGCAACTCGGGGAGAGGCTGTATAGAGAGAGAGAGTCAGAATCTTCCAGTGATTACACATATAATTTTAGCGTGTGTCTGTCTGTGAGTCCATTTGTTGAAGAACTCCTCCTAAATGGTAAGAGTTAGGACCACCAAATTCGGTATGCTGCTTCCTCTTACCATAACTTAAAGCAAGACCAGGGTTTGGTTGTGCCATGAAAATGGGAAGTGCCTGGAATGGGACTGTTTTTCCATAAAAAGGAGGGAACTGATTGGAGGCCAGATATACTTCACAGTGACCTCTGGGGGCAGTGAGTGTGAGGGGACAGCTATACTGCAGCATGACCACTGGGGGATGGGGGGAAGAAGCACCAGCAGAAGAGTGGACAGCTGGGGAGGGGCATCCACATGACCATCCAGTGGACCGAATAAGTGGCTCCCCTTCCCCAAAACAATGGTGGACTGGGAAGAAGAGCCCCCTGCCACTCCTCTGCTATGATCCCTACAGAACTACCCCCGGAGCCTGGAAACACAGCCTTGGCAACTTCCCACAAGAGCCCCCTCCCCCCTCCAAAGAGAGGCTGGGGTGCATAGCCTGCCCCCTTCCCCAGCCGTGAACCTGGTCCAGCACCTCACCCCAGAAGAAACACCTCCCCACCCTCTTAAGGAGAAGCTGGGGCCTCCTGAATAGACTGGCGCAGTTTTGGAAGGTCGTAGGTAGCTGCAGTACAGGCAGTCCCCGGGTTACGTACAAGATAGGGACTGTAGGTTTGTTCTTAAGTTGAATCTGTATGTAAGTCGGAACTGGCGTCCAGATTCAGCCGCTGCTGAAACTGATCAGTTTCAACAGTGGCACCACATATTTTGAAATAGTTTGCTTGGTCATAATCTATTTAGAATAGCCAGAAAATGCTCATATTTTCCTTATTATTTCTCTTTCTTTTAATTTCTTTTCAAAAAAATTGTTTGTGAGCTGTCTGCCTTACACAAGATTATAAGATCATTTCTTTGGCTAGCATGTTCAGCCTCTGGACATTTTCTATAAATATAGGCCCTTTTAATTTCAGATAACTCCTTTTTGGGTTTTTATATATTAAGAATGGTACAGTATCTTTAACCCTCAGCACAAAACCAGAAAGGTATTCTTCCTTTTCAACAGCCAATTTTGTTGCTAGCCTCCAAAACACTAATTTTTACCTGCCCTGAAACAATTTTAAATATTTACCTCTCTTTTTAATTCCTCCCACTCAAGTATTACTATTGTTATGGCATATAAAGAATTTTATGTTGGCATATATCTCAGCGTATTGATGGGGAAAAAAAAAGGTAGAAAGCAAATATCATGAAACCATTCTCCCAGTGACAGCTATGGAGACAATTGTATGATATCATCATGACACTTAACTGATTAGATAGCAAATAACTTAGGGGAAGCAGAGCGGAGCACGCGGCCAGCTGACAGCCCAGACGTGTTCCGCCGCTTTGCTTCCTCTCCCTGGTCTGCTGGAGACCAGGGAGAGGAAATGCCCCGTTCGTAACTGCGGATCCGACATAAGTCGGATCCGCGTAACTCGGGGGCTGCCTGTAATAATTTCAAGCACATGGATGGGCAGTGGAAGCAGGCTGTGCTGTAGAAGTAGTGGGAAGTATTTGCATGTATGTACCAGGCCTTTCTAAGAGGAGTTAGGTGGCTGAGACTGGCAAGATTGTGGTCTTGAGGGTCAAGTGGACAAGTAATAGTTGAGAGAAAGTGAATGAGCTAGGTATGCTGCTGAGGGAGGATCTAGCCAAATAGGAGCAGCTGGGGACAGCCAGCTGAAGAAAGCTAAGGCAGTCAGGTATTGCCCTGTTTGAGAGGGGAGGAAAGGAAGCTGAAAGGGGCTGTCTGTGAAGGATTTATAGGATGGCTGTGTCTACGCTGGACCACTTATTCCGGAAAATCAGCCGCTTTTCTGGAATAAGCTGCGAGCTGTCTACACTAGCCCTTGTATTTCCAGAAAAGCAACGATGCTCTACTGTACAAAATCAGCTGCTATTCCGGAAAAACTATTCTGCTCCCGCTCAGGCATGAGTCCTTATTCCGGAAGACTGTTCCGGAAAAGGGCCAGTGTAGACAGCCCAGTAGTCTTTTCCGGGAAAAAAGCCCCGATCGCGAAAATGGCGATCGGGGCTCTTTTCCGGAAAAGCGCGTCTACATTGGCCACAGACGCTTTTCCAGAAAAAGGGCTTTTCCAGAAAAGCAGCCTGCCAATGTAGACGCTCCTTTTCCAGAAAAACTGAAAACAGAATAGTATTCCGTTTTAAGCAGTTCCGGAAATTCATGCCAGTGTAGACACAGCCGATATGTTTATTTGGGTGTCAGCAGCAGAAGAGTGGCTGAGACTGAGCAGATGAGTGATGTTAATGACAGGGCAGTGGTAGATACTTCAAGAGCAATGGTCTAATCTGTAATGAGCAGTTGCCACCAGACACAGAATAGCTGCAAAGGGAAGAGTGAGAAGGGCATAATGTTTGAGGCTCTCAAGAAGGTTGGGGTGCAGCCATTAATGTCAACCGGCATACTGAAGTCAGTGGGGTCAGAGGGTTGATTTAACAGTAGAGGGGAGGAAACATTGACAGCCCTCACTGAAGTGGGTCTGGCCCACGAAAGCTCATCATCCAATAAACCATCTTGTTAGTCTTTAAAGTGCTACATAGTCCTGTATTTTGTTCACACCTTGTCATTTATTCCCTTGACATTCTTCCTCCTCCTCTTACAAATAACTGCACTGATACCAGTGGTTCTTCCCCCGGGTTGGAGGTTGAGGGGGAAGAAGGCAAGAGATCATCCCAAATTAGCATCCAGAAGCTTCTCTGAAACCAGTGGCCTTCAGGCCTTTCCCTCTGAGCCAGATACTGCACAGACACAGTGTCCCAAGTCCCACTAGTGCAGCAAATGAGAAGAGAGAGCGTGCTCCTGAACCTGTGTCATATGAGATGGTGTGTGGTGCTGCAGCAAAGCTCCTATCTGACCTCAGTTCAGCTCTCTCGCAGCCAGCACTTTGGGGCATATGTGACTGGGCTCGGACAGAGATACTCACAGTTAGTGGGAAAGACAAACTGCTACAAAAACCCCAAGAAGTAAAATTGTTAGTTCTGAATTATAAATTGATTTCCCAAATGATAAAGGCTGTGTGGCCAAACAAGATTCATGTAACCATTGACACCTAGGAATTATGATGTAAAACTTGCTGAGTAGATGCCATGTTTCAGTTTTGGGCAGACATAGCTTTCTTCCCCCCCCCCCTTTTTTTCCACTGAATTTCTTCTGATTGCTGTAGAATTGTCCATTACAATACGGCTAGGAACAAAATGACTGTCATTTAGATGACTCCCTCTGGCTGATAGCAGATGAATTCAGTATTCTGCTGGCAACTTGTCCATCTTATCTTACACATTACCTTTTCTCTTTTCAGCCTAGCCAACACAAAAGCAAATGTAAAGGCTGCATTTGCAGATGACTTTGACACCTCCAGGGCTGTTGCTGCAATTATGGACCTCATTCACCATGGCAACAGACAGCTTAAGGCTGTTACTAAGGTAACCCATTAGGATACAGAGATCAGAAAATGACAGCTGCCCACAGTTCTACTGTTTAATTCAGACAGATTTGTTTATTGTTCACGCAGCAAACGGGCAGAAACAAAGCTCCACACATTGTTGACATTAAAGATACACGTTTGTCCAGACTGCATCTCTAGATTCTGTATTATTGTTTTATGCTTCACTGTGTCCAAGGCATGTTTCTTTCCTGCTGCCTTGTATTCATAGGGAAGACTTTTGAAAGACACCTGAGGAGGGTGGTGTGTGCTGCAGGCTTTAATCCTTGCCTGCTTTCAACCTCCATAATACCGATAAAGAGTAGACGGGTGATTTATTTATTTTCTTGTTATGATGGCCAGGGGTGGCAATGGGGGTTAACACAGCACCTGTTTTAGTTCACCTGCACCTGTTGCCTCTGCTGAGAGCACATTTATGATTTGCTTGCAAACGGCCCCTCTGGCTACACTTCATATCAAACACCAGCAACTTGAAACCCCATTTAAAATCTGATCCTGAAGCAGAGGAGGCTTTGGATGGCTGAATGCAAGAGTTCAAAGATGGAAATAAAGCAAAGACACAGCCCTCGGGATTTTTGGTCGGCTCTTAATTTTGGCAATGATGCCCCTGTGGCCTTGGGTCATATATTTTAACCTCTCTGCTTTGTTGACCCTGATTGCTTAGTTAAACCGCCTTCTGGTGTTGGCAGTTTGTTTTTACTGGGGCAAAAGGGGTGGGACTGAATCTAGTAAGAACTAAGATTTGGATTATTTTTTAAACTTTTGTCTCCTATTAGTCCTACAGCAGCACCCGTCTCAGATCTGGGCTTAGCCTTGGTTTGTCTCTAAAAAGCTCTTTTCTGAACCATTGAGCCAATTCCTGATTCAGTCAAGTTTGTAGTTTAAGTCTCTGATAACAAAGCTAGTGGAATTAGAACTAGCCTCCCCCCCCCAAATCTTTCAGATGATTCTAATTGTGTCTGAATTCCCTAGAGTAGTCAGTCTTTCTGGCCAGATCATGCCCCAAATTGGATGCACTTGACAGTGCACTTCCCTGCTCTGGGCATCTCTTTGAACACACTGTTTTCATGTTTTGTCTCCTATGGAATATCTGGGTGTTGTGTGGTTTTTGGTCTATCAGTATGTCTACAGCTAAGGCAGTGTGCAGAGTGTTAGCACGGCCTCCTAACACGGCTATGAACAGCAGCGTGAGGCACAGTTTTAGGCAAGTTGTGTCCTTACGTGCCAGAACCTTAGATGTACCATAACTGGCTCCATATGTGCACAAGCAGTGTCAACACTGCTGTTTTTTAACAGGATTGTATCTTGCTGCTGCGGTCTTTCCCGATTGCCAGAGCACACCACAATGACAAATGTAGACACCAACAGCCTTTCACTGCAGCATGTAGTTGCCTGTAGGCTATAGTCCCTGTACTCTACACACCACCATAAATGTAGACATAAGCTAATATGCTTCACTGCTAATATGCATTTCCCTAAACTCAACTAATTTGTTTGTTCTTTCCATATTCCTAATCACTCAACCCATTTGGGTTTTTTTTCCTGGCTGCTGGTTCTAACATCTTCCAGTTTAGTATGTTTTGCAAACGTAATGCTATTTATGGCTTAATTCCAGTCATTAATGAGGATGTTAAATAAAATCTCACCCAATACTTCATCTTGATGCATCTCACTATACACTGGTATCCAACTTAGTTCATTGCTGTTGTCCTTTGCTAGCCAGACTTCGTCCCCATATATCTTTTCTCCTTTTTTTACCATGTTGATTGTGAACTCTTGAATTCATATTTGGGAAGTGTAGCAGCAGAAAGTGTGCCTGCATCCATGTTTACAAATGCTGTTCCTAGGGTGACCACCACTGTCTTGCTGCCTAATACCATCAGTGTCTGAAAATGACCTTCACAATGTGTCACTCAGCACTACAAAGCATGATGTTGAAGTAGCTGATGTAATTAATTAACCTGAAAAACCTTCAACTGTTAATTTAATTTTCATCTTTCCTCATGCTCATAGACCTGGCCTACAAGGTGCAGAGAATGTATGAAGTTTTTTTTTAATAACCTATAGCAAGAATTTAAATATAGTTATGAACCCTCTGGTGTGGACACTTATTTCAATATAAGAGTGTCTTTGATTTAACTTTAAACCCTTCCGAAATCATTTAAAATAAACTGAAAAAAAAAAATCCCACTATTTGACCAGAATAACTGTCCAGATTGGTGGATTATACTGGCATAAGTGGTAAAAAAAAATTTCCATGTAGCCAAGGCCATAGACTTCAAACTGTATTGGCAGTTTGAGGCCTGCAATAAATTATATTGATCCAGACAGCTTTGTTTTTGTGGCTTGTAACAGGAAGGTGGAACTCCTCCTAGAAGCCCTGTTGTTTATGGAACCATGCTTTCCTATATAGAGGACTTCTTTAACACTGTTGGAATATCTCTCGGAGAAAGGCAGGTATGAAACCTCTCTAAAGGTCTATCATGGGAGCCATTGTTTGTATTATAACAACAATGTAGTAAAAGCAGAGCATTTTATAAAAATAAGCAGCAAAATCTAGTTAAAACTGGAGGCTGATTTCTGTAACTGAGGCATAAACACTAAGGCTGTGTCTACACTGGGCCACTTATTCTGGAAAAGCAGCTGCTTTTACGGAATAAGCTGCGAGCTGTCTACACTGGCCACTTGCTTTTCCGGAAAAGCAATGATGATCTAATGTAAAATCGTCATTGTTTTTCTGGAAAAACTATGCTGCTCCCGTTTGGGCAAAAGTCCTTTTTCGGAAAAACTGTTCCAGAAAAGGGCACAGTAGTCTCTTCTGCAAAAAAGCCCCGATCGCGAAAATGACGATCAGGGCTTTTTTGCGGAAAAGCGCGTCTACATTGGCACTGACGCTTTTCCGGAAAAAGTGCTTTTCCAGAAAAGCATCCTGCCAATGTAGACGCGCTTTTCCGGAAATACTTATAACGGAAAAACTGTTCCGTTTTAAGCATGTCTGGAAAAGGGTGCCAATGTAGGCACAGCCTAAGGGAAGCGCTGCACTGATACCGTTTTAAATTGTGGCTTGAAGGAAAATTAAACACAGATGAGTAGTACAGAACAAACTCTGGGCTAAACTCTGCTATTAAATATTCCCGTGCATCATCGATTGTGCTACTGATGAAGTGGAAATGAGTCTGGGGAGTGAAATAAAAACAAGTTGTCTGTATTACTGTGCTAGTGAGAGCAGGTTCTTAAGTATTTGGCTTCTGAACAGCTGGTTTGTTAAGATGGCTATTTATCAGTCCACGTTTACTTTATGCATTTATCTTGTTGATTTTCGGTGATATACTGTATTTTAAGGAATGGGGACTAATTTTCACATAGGAACAAACACAGCCCTAACTAGGATGTGTGGTTTCATGTTTTTCTGACCTTTTGGAAATGCTATCAGGTTCTCCAGTGCTGAAAATGTTGGTGTGAGGTAGGGATGTTAAATATCGATTAATTTGATAGTCGATTAACCTCATGAATTTTTATTCGTTAGTTGATTATTCTGTAGTCCCTGGAGACTAAGCTGGTAGCCAGTGTACTCCGTCCACCCTCCATGCTGCTGCCTCTGTATCAGAAGCAGCAGCATGGGGTGCCAGGTAGGAGCTGGTCCACCAGGGAAGCCAATTTAAAAACTAGCTCCCCTCACGGACTGGCTGCCTGTCACCCTGCACTGCTGCACAGCATGGGGTGGCAGTAGCCCCTTTCTGCGGTATCGAGGGGCCAAACTCCCAGGCCCTGTGCGAGTCAGAACTGAGTGGGGCTGCCTGCCTGCCTCCTAAAACACTTCAAATGCAGAGCTACAGCAGGGATAGGTCCTGGACCTGGCGCGAGCTAAGACTTAGTCGGGCTGCTGGCCAGCCTATTAAAAAATTTACTGGCAAAGGGCAGGGGAGGAAATGTGTGTAGCCTATAGCATTAACCTGTAAGCTTTTTTTTATCAGTTAATCGGTTAATCGACTACAGTATTACATCCCTAGCGTAGAGTAGGATCAGAACAATGAGAACTTTGGGCCTAGTTTCTCTGGAACAGAGTTTGTTGTAATTGAATGGAAATGATGCCTTGATAAAGGGATGACAGTTTGCCAAGGCATCAGTTTTGGCTCTAGTGCAGACATGCCAGATCCACTGCTTTTGGAAGGGATTAAACTAATTTGGAATAAGAGCATCCATAGATGAAGTTAGTCAGGAATAGTTATTCTGGAATGACTCCCCATGCAGACAAGACCAGAGTAGTTGTCTGTTTGCCACCTGCCCAGCCATGGTTGGATGTAAAGTTTCTGTAGGCATGTCAAAGTCAAGCCATAAGGTGGAATTTAGAAGTGGATAAGATGCTGATGCACAACAGTATAGATTATTCCCTTTCCTATAGAGGGATGAGTTAGACTAGCATAAGCACAGTTACACCACTTTGTGAGTGTGCCTACACTATGACTGCAGTATAAACTAGCATTATCCACTCTAGCTTTAATCTAGCTCGGACAAGAGTGTGTACCTAGGCAGCTTGTAGCACCTGCTCCACTGCAACAATGCTACTGGTTTCAGCTGCGCTAGCTTGATAGAAGCTGGTGCGGGTATGCTAACCTGTGCTATAAGCATACTCCAGACTGCAGTGTACATACACCTTGTGTGCAGGCGAGGCCTGATTTCTGAATTTATTCTGTTAAATTTCTGGAGCAATTATTTTAATACTGCAGCTTTTGGTGCATAGGTTGTTCTAGAAAACAAGAATTCAGCTCTGCTTTCCAGCGTGATTGATGAGCTAGTGAACTTCCGTGTCAAGGTGCGTAATTATGCTCTTGCTATGCCTGGACCAACAGAAGCGGAAGAGGGTTCCATTCTAGCAAAGGGAAGGAAACAGGAAGAGAAAGAGAAGAGGCGGCAGCTGTTGTTGGAGCGAGAACCTCTTCTGCAGGCTTGTGACAACCTGCGGCGAGACCTTGCTGCATTTGGAATCAACATAAAGGTTTGAGAAAATATCTTTGCAACTCCTTCTGTAATGCATGCAAGACGGCACTTCCTTTTGACCTTATCACACCCTGTGCTCTGCATTGTGTGCATTTAGACTAGTAGTAAGCAAAAATGAAGAGCTCATTTATGAGCAAACTGTTAACGTTATGTTCTCCCCGGACCCTCCTCTCTACTTCACCTATTGCTACTTTGCAATTAGTGAGGGTGTATTTAGCTATTACAATGCCCTCTGCTTTGTTTGGAAATCCCCACCTCGTCTTTAGCTGGATTAATCAAGGGCCAGAAGATGATAGCAGTTTGGAGTAGGCGCTTGAGAAGCAATGCAGACGCTGTCTGCAATGATTTTTCATGCTCTTTCACTCTGATTTGAGATGGCTTCTCAGTGGGGAAAAACCCCACCTACCTAAGTCACTGTGAAAAGCAACCTCTGTCCTCTCACTAAATAGCTCCATTCTTAAATTAATTTGTTTGGGTTAACCATATTCTTTTCCAGCCCCTCTCTGTGCCTTTTGTCTATCCCTACTGCCATTGTTGAAGTATTTTCCTTTCCCATTGCTCCAGCAGTATCTACCCTTAAACACACACCTTAATTGGCTTAGTCTCTTCCTGCAGCACTTCTAGGTAGTACCCTTGCACCTTTAAGAACCGGCATCATCTCCTTCTATCCAATACTGCTCCTAACGCCTTACAATCCTTCAACACTTCAGCCCTGTAATTTTAGCACAAGTATGCCAGTCTGTGCAAAGTCAGACCTTCACTCACGGGCACTGGCATCCACTCATGCTCAGCCCTTGCAAAATTGAGCCATTGAACTTGAGGCTCCTCACTGAGCATTGGCACTAGAAGTTATGCAGATGAAGTTCTGTTTAAGAAACTATCGTCTGAAAGAGATGGATGATGCATTATTTGGCCAGACACTTTACACTGCTATTCTTAGAGTAGTATTGATAGTCTGATCCACAAATAATTCAACATATGGGCCTTGCCTGCACTCTTTGTGGGGCAAAATTCTCATTGTTTTAGCAACAATAGGAGCACTTCTGTAGAAAAGCTGTTGGTGGTCCCCTGAATACTATTTACACCAGCACTTTTATTGGGCTCCCTGGTGGAAATCTAATGATGAAAAATCCTTGTGCAGACATATAGTCATGGTGATAAAGTGAGGTCGCTTCCTGCTGTCTTTTTAAATTAAGCATGTAAGAACTATTTGGCATTTGTTAAATTCACTTAAACATGTTTGATAGTAAAGGAGAGCTAGGAAAACCCCAAATTCTAAGTCCTACAATGCTTATGTTAGTTTGTCTTTATTTGAATTTAGCCTGGAAGAAATCACTTGAGTCCTTTTTTCCTGAAAGCTTCTTTTCTTAAACTATAAAAATATCAAAATTTGATTGACAATGTTAAAAAGGACATGTCCTTTTGACTCAGATACTGAACATAGAAGATTTCATCCAGCATTGTCACTCATGCTGTTGATTCAAACAGTTTAAAGTTTCATTTTTAAAAAACCGAGTAAGACTATCCAATAACTCTTGCATCTACTTTACATTCTCTAAATCTGCCAAAAGCTTATTTCAGGTTTAATAGAACTGAATTCTTTTGAGTGAAAGAGTTCATGCTGACAATTAAATAGCCTATTGCTATGTTTACTCATTTATCAAACTAATTTTCTCTTAAATTATATGTATTTAATTCTGCCTTCTACTTAAATATCCCCAGTCAACATGTCAATTTTCAAATCTAGACAGTTTAAGAACTTCACTTGCTGAATTCTTCAGAGGCACTTTCTGTTCATTTTCCAAAACTAAAACCAAATATCTAAGTAGCAGTAGCTATTTGAACTATCATACTTTTCAATATATTTTAGTAAAAATATTCAACCTCATGCCATTCTTCTAAAAGAGCTCAAAGTGCACAGGGCACTTTTTTCGCTTTTAGTGGCCATAAAGGAGGTACACTTTGTTTTAGTTCTGTAAAAGTCTGAAACATGGAAACCTATTCTGATAACTTTGAGAAGGTGTACACACTGGGTGGGTCTAGACTGGCAAGTTTTTGCGCAAAAGAGGCTGATTTTGCGCAAAAACTTGCCAACTGTCTGCACTGGCCACTTGAATTTGCACAAGAGCACTGATGTTCTAATGTAAGATTTTAGTGTTTTTTGCGCAAATACGTTGACGCTCCCGCTCATTGATAAGCCCTCTTGAGGGCTAGTGTAGACAGGCGCCTTAATTTTTTGCGCAGGAAAGCCCAATGGCTAAAATGGCCATCGGAGGTTTCTTGTGCAAAAGCGCATCTATACTGGGCATGGATGCTTTTGCACAAAAGCATCCATGCCAATCTAGATGCTCTTTTGCGGAAATACTTTTAATGGAAAAACTTTTCCATTAAAAGTATTTCCGCAAAATCATGCCAGTCTAGATGCAGCCACTAAGATAAGGTCTACACTGACAACTTCTTGCGCAATAACTCTTTTGCGGAAGAGTTCTTATGCAAAAACTCTTCCACAAGAGAGCACCTATACTGGCATGTGCTTTTGCGCAAGAGCATCCATGGCAGTGTAGACACTGTCTTGTGCAAGAAAGCTCTGATGGCCATTTTAACCATAGGGGCTTCTTGCGCAAGAAATTCATGTTGCCTGTCTACACTGGCCTCTTCTGGAAGAGCTCTTGTGCAAGAGGGCTTCTTCCTGAGAGGGAGCATCAGAGTTCTCACGCAAGAAGCCCTGATTTTCTATAGTACATCATCAGTGTACTTGCGCAAAAACACGCAGCCAGTGTAGACAGGCAGCATGTTTTTGCGCAAGAGCGGCCATTTTCGCGCAAGAACACGCCAGTGTAGACACAGCCTAAGAGGCATTGTGGTATCCTTCATCACCTAATCTAATATACAGCTCCTGTCTACAGTCTCAGCAACTTTTGCCTCTTTACTCTAAGTAATTTAAGATCTTTTCTGAGAGACGACAGGATCTCTTTTTAACTTGTGCAATAGTTATGTTGATTTAAAATCAAGTAGGTACTTTGAAATACAGCTTTTTAATGTAAGCAGCATTTTTGCCTTTTGAAATTAATACAGTGTTTTTCACGTTCACTTACACTGCTTCATGCATGCTATGTTTTTAAGGATTTGAATACAGTTTAACCAGGAACTAAAGTAGTGCATGTACTTTAAAAATTGCTGGGTTTGATCCACTTCTTTATTTTTACAGGACAGGGGTACTATTTCTACATGGGAAGTTGTGGATCAAAGAAGAGCAGAGAACTGAAAGATGCAGCTGCTGTAGCACAGGTCATGGTTGGACTGATCATGTGGCAGGATAGGCTTTATGAACAAATGTAATTAAATGCCAATCAACTGCAAAAGAAATCTGTAGTGACTTCTGATTATCTATTAATAAATATTGTTTTAACTTAAATACCTCTCTTCTTGCAACAACTTGCCTTTTCTCTTTATGGAGAAGGCATTGATTTGTTTCCTGTATGTGAATTAAACTGAGGTAGGTTCAGCATATTTAAGTAAGTACATGTTCTATTGGCTTTCAAAAGAGCACAGCTCAGAAGTTCTTGTTGCTTCTGTTGATCACTTCCTGGCCAATGCACGGAAGCTAGCCAGGGACTTGCCTAGGCTGAAGATAGGTATAGGCAACCAAGACAAAACTAGCTAACGTTTTCTTTTAGAACTTTAAGGAAAACTCCAAAAATTGTTCCAGGAGCATAAATAGTATACAGTGTAAGTGCACGCTACCAATAATAAAACTAGAGGTTACCAGCACACTAATCTTTGTGAGCTTATACATGCTACTCTTGTCTGTTTAGATAACACTAAACACACTAACAAAACCAAAAGCACCGCCCTTAACTGGATCTCTCTGGTCAGGCAACATGGATGTTCCTAGCTCATGTATAGGGAGGTTGGGCCATGGAGCAGGAGTAAGAGGGGATGGAGGGAAGAGTGCAGTGTAGCAGGGATCTCTATCCCCAGCAGTGGAGCTTGGACCACTTGGCAGGCAGCCACAGCTGGGCAGGAACCCTAGCCAGGGGTAGCAGTACAGCACAGGCCATTTTGGGAAGGATCTCCTCTGGTCTGGCAAATCGCCTCCTTCAGGCAGGTCCTGACAATGTTGGCAGAGGGAGGTCTAACCTGGACTATGTAAGAACAATCATCTTTTCCACAGCTGAGCTGTAAGTCCATTTCCATGCTTCCTGTCCTCTTTTCCACAGGAAGTGTTGCTTAGAGCAGTGGTTCCTAACCTTTTCTATACTAAAGACTGGCAAACCCATTCTCAAACTTCTGGTAGACTGGTAATATTCTATTTGCATATTCATTATGCAAATAACGTTGCCAATCCACCAAGACTTTTGTGAATGGATATGCTGGTCCCTGGTATATAAAGCCCACAGCTCCAGATTTCCCCCTTTGACTTCCCACCAGCAGACACCTCCCTCCCATGCTAGCTGCCTGTTTTCAGAGCCCCAGTGCCAGCCCCCCAATCCTCCCTCACTACTAGTGGCACTCCCCACACTGGATGCCCCAGTGCCCATCCTGTCTCCCAGCTGAGTGCTGCTGCCCCCTCCCTGCTACTTCTGATGGGGAATGCATGTAGTCAAGATTAACCGATACGCTTGGGCTTATTGGTCAACTGTATAGTAGACTACATGTTGACATCCCTTCCCTTGTACAGACCTGTGCAAAGTCTCAAAACAGCAGCACTGTGCACAGGCATAAGTCCTGTCAAGAACATAATTTCTCCATTGCAGACAAGGACAAAAGTGTCTTCTCTTGCACAACTTGAGGTAGGAGCAGGCTCTCAATCTCTTCCAATGAGATACCTCATTATGTTCCCAAGCCTTGAGATGGTTGTTACAACTAAATAGCAAACACCATGAAAACATATACTTTAGGCTTGCTTAGTTTTACCTGTCAAACAGCTTCCACTTACTAAAAGACAGCAAAGAACTTTCATATGGAGCTAGTGTTAATGGTTTATTCTGCTGGAAATCTTCCCTTGTGGAGCACATACTCCTTGTGCAGCCAGTTTCACCACTGTTGAACTAGCCACAGAGGCAAAATGTGGGGAAGGTAAATATTCTCTTGCCTAAAGCTTAACACTTCACAGGCACAGAACAAGCCTGACTTTTCATCTTGTGATTTTTCCATATCAGATAATACAGGTAAGGTCCTATGACACCTGTCACCAGGTTAAGTAAAAGATAATCTACTTGTGGGTTATTTCTGATTCAAGGAGCCTGTATTTCTAACTCACTTTTGCACAAAATAAGTTACAGTTCCCTAGCAATGGTAGTGAAGAAAGCTTAGGCACTAGTATTAGAAATTGATTAAATGGGCTTGCTTGATGAATCATGAATCCTTACACCACCCCTGCAAGATAACTACTTTTTGGACTGAATGAACACACAAATAAGACTTTCCAAAACCTTTGAGCAAATCACTGGCTGATCTGGAATTAGTAGTTGGGTGCAATATAAGAACTTGAAAATAACAGGCTAGTTGTCTATTGTACTTCACGCTACTTACATTGTCATTTTGTGATGATTAGAACTTAGCAAAATTTATTCCTGCTCTTTAGGAAAAGTACACTAAATTTTATAAGTTCATCATAAGCTGGAGAGTTTAGGTAACTGGATATCTAGTTTAACTGATGGGTTTAGAGATCTCAATTCAAATTATATTTTTCAAAAGTTTGCAGAATCTCACTTACTAGATTTCTTCCATGTTTAAACAAAGCAATTTGTGAAAGGATATAAGAGGGAAAAATAACTTTAGCTCTACAAAGATCTCTTCTGAAGATACAAGTCCCAGCAGGAGTTATCTAACATTAAAAGGCTTTAAGATTTGTTTTCTAGCCATTTCTTTGACCAGAGAATAAATTGCCACTACCAAGCAGTTTTCCTGCCCCTTTTTTTTTTTGAATCACAGGCACAGTTACACTGGAAACCTAACTAGTTCCATGGCAGAGGCCAAGGACTAGATGCAACAATGTTAGCCAGGAAACCTTTCTTAAGCCAGGGCTTCAGGCTCCGTGGTGTAGAGCTGGGAGTCTCAGAACAAAATCAAATGTATACATTTCTTGTGATCTGACCTTTCTCGGCTCTCCACAGCAATTTGTATATGAACAGTGTTATCTGTCAGTAATAAAATTGTATGTTATGAAGAATAAGCTATCTTCACTATGACCAAGCCACTGCAAACAAAATACACAAGGCAGTTTTGTTTTATTTGCTATATTTTTATTTCCTATGGAAAGAAACTTGCTACATTTCCAGAATCTTTTAAAATTAACTTGTAACAATTTGTATACAATGGTGAACAAAGTTACTTTTATGTATAGTTAAAACAAAGTCAAATTGAAATTTATTGACCTCTGATATCAAGCATTTTCATTTTGTGGAAAAAAAAACCACCAAATGGTTATTTGATTTGGTTTTTATCTACAAGTGTAATTTAGAATAATACTTCTTGCATATGAATACAAAAGCCGCATTTTAAAACCAGTTTTTAAAATTTTGATTTTAGGAATTAGAGTTCAAAAGTAATTCCAAGGGGAGAAAATGACAATAGCTTATATTCCCCAAAGAAGTAGACAGTTTATAAACCAGTGCTTTGGTAAAACACTGTCAAGTCCCTTAGGAGTAAACAGCTTCTCTAATTTTAAGTCTTAGAACCCTGACAGAACAAAAAGCAAACATACAAAAACCTATTTTAGAAATAGGTTACCAGTTTAAAAAGAAAAACAAGAATGCATTGGGGTGAGGTAGTAGTCACAGTGCATCCAAAATATGAATTATAAGGGCCAGAGCTACTCAGAACAGCCTTTAGGAAGTTATTACAAGATGTGAAAGTGCAATCCAACTGATACATATGGTACTAAACACTGTTATAGAAATAGGCCACTGAAAAAAAAAATTAAATGTCTATATAGCATCTAGTAATTAATTAGTCCCTATACTCTAATGAATATAAAAACTGAATTAGACTGTAGGCTAAACCACAGGGCAAGAAGTTGGTACTTACTGAAACAAATGTACTTCTGACCCCTCCTCCCCATAAATTAGTTTTGCCCCAGTACTAGGTTGCACTTCCACAAGTTTAAGAAACCCAGGCTACACAAATCTCTCTCAACTTCTCATTTATTTCTGCCTGCCATCTACTCAGCCCAGAAGCAAGACACACATGGAACAGCTGATCTGTCCTCCTTGATACTAAAGCCCTACCTGCTAAATGATGATCCAGCTTAAAAACCTTGTTACAGCCAAAGCTTGAGCACCCCCACTGTTCTTCTATCCCCCGGGTCCAGTGCAGTCCCTTACTGGACTAATGCCATATAACTAAGTGCAGCTGTCTCCTCTATTATTATTTATGCTGGCAATAGCCAGCCATATGTGCATATACACAGAAATGTGCTCAGAGCTGTACTACAGCAATTTGAGTTATAACTTGTTTTGAGCTGACATAAAAGCACTCAACCTTGTACAATCACCAACATTTTTGACCATTTAAATATCACTAGTTCTTCCCCACACCTCGTACCTTTTCTTCAAATTATTTTGCATTGTGTTGCATTTTACATTTTAGTTGACAGCAGGAGATGGAATACAAAGTAAATTATTTGAGCTAAACATAATTCCTATATTTCATGCCAATACTTCTGAGTAAATTCTTATTGTAAAGAGGTTCCCCCCCCCCCTATTTTCCCCTGTATTCAGATTTTTTTTCTGAAAAATGAAGAGCAAGAATTTCAAATTAGATATTGCCGCCTCAGTGACCAGGACTAGGCAAAGGCAACCAATTACATTCAAAACTGAAAGCAACTCTCAAACTTCCAAAGAGGGGAAAATATTAAGATAGAAAAAAAATGTAGTGCAGTAGCTAATTCTAGATACAGAGTCTAATAAAATCATGACTACCTTGATGCAGGCCAAAAAATTCAGTGTAGCTGGTGGAAGAATTTTACTTTCTTCTTAAGAATCAAGTGCATTTTTGCAGTTCACACACACTTTAGTTATTGCTCAATAACCATGAAAAAGAACTGAGGAATACTTTTCACTTTAGTTTTATTATATTATATAACAGATCTGCAACTACAGCATATTTCAGCCAAAACATTTTTTTTTATTCCAAACTCTTAAAAAATATCTACATTAATCATTTTTCTAGTCTTTTAAAAAAAAAAAAATCTACCTAGCATACCAATGCTGCTACAGCACTTGAAAGGGTGCATTACTTAAGTATATTCTACTGTAAATGTAATTACTGTTGTAGCCGTTGTTCTTTTCTTCCTTCTTTGCTGCTTTGGCTTCAGGTTTCAAAAAGTTTGTTAAAAGCTGTTCCAACTTCTGAAACCATATCAGATGTAGTCATTGAACGTCCAAATTTTTGAAAGGCTTGGCTGTTACACTGTCTTGTAAGCGAACAAGCTCCAAATGCAGCCACTAGAAATGGATTTTGACTAAAGAAAAAAAAAGGAAAAAAGCTTCATGTTAATTTTCTTTAAACAGTATTTTACAAAGGGGAACCTTATACAATCCCAAAAGGCAGTGGTTTATGAAGGACAGAGGTTTGCAGTAAAAATTAAATTCAGCTGAAATACATTGCTGCCTTGCTACTGAATTTAGTAGTATTGTAATTTATAGGCATGAATGATTTCCCTTACTAATTCTGAGATTCTTCTATGCTTGCATTTACCATCTTGATGCTTACATTTTCTATAGCTTGAGTTACTCAATGTTAAAATGAAGCACATTTATCCTTATTTACCACCTTATAGTTCTTGCATTCACAATTGGATTTCTAGCCTAATAGTCCATAGTATGAAAATATATCTCCCCTCCATCCCTCCTACTGCAATACAGTACTCAATTATATAAAAAGTAATATTAGGACAGAAGGACAAGATAAAAAACAGACTTGCTTCAGTGTAATGGATGAGTGCTTAGTTCCATTCCTATCTTGTAGCTGTGTATTTTATTTCCTTTTCCTGGGGAGTAGGGTTTTACATTTGTTAGTACCAAATCTCCCCTTCTTCAAGTGCTTGCTCATGTCTATTCCAAAGTAGGAGTGCGCTCATCCTGAGCGCTGCCGCCAGAAAGTTTTTCCCTCAATGGTATCCATTGGGTTAGTGCTGGTGCCCCTTGGCGTAGTGTGCTCTTAGAACAGGTAGAAAGGGCCGAATTGTAAGCCTCCCTTGGGAGCCAACAAATAGCTTTGCCCTTGAGTGAAGCCACTTTGGACCTTATATCAAGGCCTTCTAACATGCCCTAGCATCCCTGCGACCAAGGAAGAAAAAGATGGACAATACTTTGTTCCAGCCAAGGCCTTTGACTGCCTCTAACCCATCCTCCACTTAGGTCACTTGTGGTACTAGCAGCCAATAAGTGAATGCAGCAAGGTGAACAGGGTCCAACTCCCAAAGCCAGAGATGCCAATAATTAGACCTTTCTGCCAAAAAGGTTTATTTAACTAGAGGCTGCCCACTTTCCATAACTTCAGTCTGTTCATAAATATGCAGAATTCTATTTTCTTCCTGGTTCAAAGTATAGAATTCATTAGGGGCAACCCTCAATTCAGTCCAGGTCAGAGCCTTCCTCCCACAAATTCTGTTTTGAGCAACAGGGTTCCTCTCAGGGAACCTCAGAAACTAAAAGAGCAATGAAGTACCTACAGCTCCTGGGACATATGGCATCAGGCGCTTACATGATGCAGCATGAGACCTTATAGCTCAGACCTCTTCAGGCCTGACTGGTGCAGTATACATGTCAGGCTGACACCACCTGGACACGGTTGTCACATTTCCTTCTTTGGTGACTGAACCCCCACAGGCAGTAGGTGAAAGAGCCCCATTCTCGAGAACCAAACCATCAATGTCACATTACAGATGGGTCAGCAAAGGGATGAGGGGGCTCACTTGGTGACCTGCAAAACATCAATGTCAAGGAGCTCAGGGTAGTTCACCTAGCCTGCCTGCCAAGTGTTCCAACCCCCCAGATGGCAAGTGTGTGTCAATTCTTACAGACAGGACACTGATGTTTTATATAAACAGGCAGAATGAAGCATACCCCTATCACCTGTGCCAGAAAACTCTTTACTTGTAGAAATTGTGCATAGCAGAAATTTTTTTTTCCTGTGGCTCAGCACCATAAAAGGAACAATTAAGATAAGGACATGGCAGAGAAACTAAGTTGATGTAAAGAAATCATCAAGAATGACATTGGGGAGATACCTAATCAAAATCTACTGTTCAGAAAGAGAAAGCGATTGAGATATTGGAACAAATGGATTAACAAGTAACAAGCCAGAAGGATCAGATGTTAACCAAGGAGATATTATTTACCTTACAGTAACACAAGTTCTAGGAGAGGTTTTGACTCTGAGTACTTCTCTGTAAGATGTGCATGCTCCTATGCCAAGGGTGGGCAATAATTTTTGACAGGGGGTCACTTCAGAAATATCTGAAGTGATCTTAGGCTGCCCCAGAAGGGATAGAGTCTCAAGTGGAAGAGGCAGAGCCAGGACACTTCTGAGCTTCCCCGCCCACAGACCCTGATTGGTCTGGGAATGAAGGAAGCACATAAAGCCTTTTCCCCCACCTCCCTCAAGAAATGACAGCTGTTCTGAAAAACTGACGGTTCCCTCTGAGTGCCTGCGCCCCTAGCAGCAGCAGGAGACTTTGCACACTGTTCCTGCCACCAGGTCAATCAGGGCCTGGGGGGAAGCACAAAAAGTCTGTCACTCCCTGCCCCTGCCAGGGGCATGCAGTGATTAGTCAATCCTGGTGGTTGACTCTTAGCACCGTGTGCCCCTGGTGGGGAAGACTTTGCAATCTCCCTCGCCCCCAGGCCAATCAGGGCCTGGGGGCGGGGGAGTGGCAGGGGACCTGCAGGCCGGATCAACCAGCTAGGTAAAATGCTACAGCATCATCTGCGCATCTCCCAGTGAACTGAAAGGTGATTTTCTGCATTGTTCAGAGTGGCAAGAAAGGTGTACGTTACTGAGACGCAAAGTCTGGCAGATGCTGCGTAAAACAGTGTCTGAGTTCCCATTGGTGGTCCCACCAGAAGTCTCTGTAATTGTATTCTGGATGCCTGCTAGATAGGCAGCTGATCTCTCACATCAAATGGAAAAGTACCAATTTTACAGCTTAGAGCCTCTTCGTAGGACTAGGATCACTCTCAACCCTGACAATTAATGTAATGCATTGCTCCCTTGTTGTCCAGCATTATCATGATGGCCCTCTATAAATGTGCAGGAAGAGCTGGTTAATATGGAGCATTACCCTGTGTGCTGTCCCCTTGCCCGTTCCAATAGAGCATCTATTGTCAGAATCTCTAGTGGTGGAAACAGAGAAAGGAGTTCCCATGCAAACCTTCCAAGGGTCCTTCCACCATGGCAGAGAGTAAGGAATCTATGCAACAATGTGGCACATTTGCAAAGGCTATCTAAGATCAGAGTATACTCCAAGTAAACATATTTGAAAACATCTGAGATGGAGACTTACATATGGTGCTACAAATGAGGAAGCTGACATGAGGCCCAAGAGCTTCAGGCAGGTCCAAACAGCTGTTTGTGGACTGTGCTGTACCATCAAAATTAGATTGGTTAGTATGGAAAACCTGCATTTGTGTAGTTAGTCTCTGCCTATTAGAGAGTCCAGGGTAGGGCCTATCATTTTGTTTTATTAGCGTTAAAATAGATTTCTGAAAAGTGATGAGAAGGCCCAGGGATTAGAATAGGTAGTACCTTAGAGGCTGCCAACTGAAGCTGTAGGCCTGATCAGCCAGTTTTGCAAGTTTGGGAATACTGCAATGTCATAGTGAGCCAAACCAGAAGAACAGCCACACTGCATCAGAGCAAAAGGTCCATTAGCTCAGTAGTATCCTGTCTTCCTATAGTGGCCAATGCCAGGAGCCTCAGATAAAACAAACAAATAGCAATCAATTGATCCTTTCCTTGTCACCCATTCTCAGCTTCTGACAGACAAACAGAGGTTAGGGACACCACCTCTGTCCGTCCTTGCTAATAGCCACTGAGAGATCTGTCCTCCATGAACTCAACTAGTTTGTTTTTAAAGCCTGTTAAAGCCTGGGCCTTCACAACATCTTCTGGCAAGGAGTTCTACATGTTCACTGCGTGTGGTGTGAAAAAATACTTCCTTTTGTTTGTTTTAAATCTGCTGACTATTCATTTCATTTGGTGACTCCTACTTCTTGTGTTATGAGTAAATAACACTTATCTACTTCTCACCACCAGTCATTTTTATAGACCTCAGTCAGATCCCCATTAGTCATCTCTTTCCCAAGCTGAAAAATCCCAGTCTTACTAATCTTTCCTCATATGGCAGCTGTTGCATATCCCTAATTTTTCTTGCCCTTTCCTGAACCTCTTCCAATTCTAAAACATCTTTTTTAAGATGAGGAAACCACATTGGCACCTAATATTCAGGATGTGGGTATACTGTGGATTTATACAGTAGACTTCTGATAATCCGGCACCTTTGGGATCCAAGTGGTGCTGGATTATTGGATATGACAGACTATCGGGAGGTACTGTGGTGGGGGGGCTGTGACTGGTCTGCTGGGACCATACTGCCTCCAGTGGGGGCAGGAGCTTGGCGAGGAACAGTGCAGCGAGGGCTGAACCCGCTGCCATTTTGCAGGGAGGCAAAGCCTACAAGCGGCGGTGGCAGAGAGGGGGTGAGAGGCAGGCAGCTGCTTCAAGAAGTTGTTAGTCAATTACACTACCGCCCTCTCACCCCCCCTCTATCCCCGTCACTTGCAGGCTTTGCCTTCCTGCAAAACGGTGGAGGGTTCAGCCCTTGCTGCGCCGTTCCCCACCGCCCCACCAGAGGCAGTAGAGGAAAGAAATTGGGAGCCTGTCACCTGTGGATCAAGTAGTGTAACTGACTAAACTTCTTGAAGCAGCTGTCGCCCCACCAGAGGCAGTAGAGGAAAGAAATTGGGAGCCTGTCACCTGTGGATCAAGTAGTGTAACTGACTAAACTTCTTGAAGCAGCTGTCGGAGCTCTTCCGGGTTCCAGTTGGTGCCAGACTATTGGGAGTACCGGACCACTGGATGCCGGATAATTGGAGTTTTACTGTACAAAATCAATATATTTTCAGTTTTATTTTCTATCCCTTTCTTAACGGTTCCCATCATTCTGTTTGCTTTTTTGACTGCCACTGTACATTGAGTGGATGTTTTCAGAGAACTGTCCACAATAATTCCAAGATCTTTTTTTTTCAATAACAACAGCTAATTTAGATCCCATGTTATATGTATAGTCGGGATTGTGTTTCCCAATGTGCAGTACTTTGCATTTATCAGCATTGAATTTCATCTGTCATTTTGTTGTCCAGTAACCCAGTTTTGAGAGATCCTTTTTTAGCTGTTCACTGTCTGCCTGGGACTTAACTTATCTTAAGCAGGCCTAGGCAAAATATGGCAGATCTGGCCCATGAATGCTGTGGGGAGCCCCAGGTAGGCTCCCCTGGGAGCCCTGCACACTACTCAGAAACACAGCTGAGGAGTCGTTTCTTTTTAAAAACTGTGAGGGGGGAAGGCTTCAGGCATAACTCCCACCCCCAGCACAATCTCATTGACTGGCTTCTGGCCAGAAACTGGCCCTGGCCAAAACCTGGCCAATGGGAGCTGCCTGTTAGAACAACAGGCAGCCATGAATCACTAGTTCCCTTCCCTCTGGCTCAGTTATTCACACAAGCACATGGCCATGCAAGCCTGTGCAGGTGCGGGGCGGTCGGGCTGGCTGTCAGAAACTTTTTAAGCTCTTCAAGCATTTAGTTCTGCAGGGAGGCAGGGCTGCTGACTGGTAAGTCTCCTGGCCAGAGCCTACCTCTGGCACTCCATCTCTTCTCTTTCCCAACCCTCTGCCCTCCCACTCAACATACACAAATCCTCTGCCCCCCCTCCTGCACCCATACCCTCTCCCAGATCTGGCACCCCAATCCTCTGCCCCAGATCACAATCCCCTTCTACTCTAGCTTACAAACCGAACTCCTGCACCTCAGTCCCCTACACTAAGTTACATTCCAAAACCCTGCACCTGTCTCCTGCTGTAGGTCACAACTGTTTTCAACTAAATTCCCTACCCAGACTCTACTCTCCCTCCTGTACCTCAATCCCTTACCACAAACTCCACCCCAGACCCCGCACCTCCTCCATTAATATCATGTAAGAGTGTGGTCCTTGACCACTTTCCAAAATCTTTGGAGTGGCTCCCCCTCCCCAAAAAAATATTGCCCAGCCCTATCACAGTTTGTATGCCTAGGAGATTTGGTCAGTTCTGGGAGATGCTCATTGTTAAACAGTTTTATGGAAGCATGATAGTATGATATAGAGGTAGAGTCCTGTACCAAAATCTCAGAGCCCACAGTATTAGCCCCTGAAATAAGGGGGGGGGAGGGGAAGCCCCACATATCATTGCTAGTACCAAACGGTTGAAGGACCAATTGAGAATTGACTTGCAGGTGTCAAGGCTGCACTAGGAAGAGGACTATGAAAGACATCATTCAAATGAGAGACTCCAATTCTTCTGGAAATACAAGGTGCTCTGTGGACAAGAACATGGAAGGCAATGGAGGGCAATGATAGCCAATGGCCAAACACGGGGTCAGCACCAAAGTGGGTATCCAGAAGAAGCTGGCAAACGAGGTACTAGAGAGTCAGTTAGACCTTCTCTGACCTCAGAGTTATAGTAAGATGATGGTACTGAAGCATGTAAGGTAGGACTGTGTGTGTTGCGATGCCAAGGTGTCAGATGGTACCTATGTAGATGGTGCCCTGAGGGTATAGGGTTTATCCATTTGGAAAACTATATGCAATACTAGTGCCTCAGTACCTGACACAAAGCCTCAGTGATATCTTTGAGAGTTGCAAGGTCTCCTTTTAAATGTTTTGGAGTGGCCCATCCTTGCTTCCCTGCTTGGGGAACTATGCTGCTTCTTCCTGAAAGTCTTGTGTCTAGGGCCGCTGACAAGATTCCAGCAGACACTAGAGTGGCCTGAGATGTTAAGGATGATATAGTGGAGCAGGGGAGAGAGCAGACATCTGGAGCTAGGAAATATTCCATGCTTTAGAACTTCAAGTAGACAGGGTATCCAGACACCTCAGGCAATTGGAGTGTCCACTGCCATGGGAGAAAGACCTTTAGCAGGTCAGTTGGGTTTAAACCCAAGGTTTATAGACTTCATCAAAATCAGAATGATTACAAAGAGGACTGTCTTCTCTACAACACAAAGTTTGTCAGTGCCCTATCCCCAAATTCTGATTGTTTCTGTTTCTTAACATTTCCACAGGAGATAAAAGTAGTAACTAATGAAATCATACCCATTAGTTTTTTCTGGTCCAGCAAGAAATGCCCAGTGTGCCAACACTCCAAGAGAACCTGAAAGAAGGTCCCCTTGTCCACCACATCTTCGGCTGCTTCCTTCATGACTGCATACAAGCACTATAAAGAAACAAATAAAATAAAGGGGGTCATGTATACTTATCCTCTATTCACATGACATACTACCATGGCTGTGAGGGTGGAGGAACCACAAAATGCAATGTTATGCTAGAACATTTCTTCTCTGAGAAGAAAGGGTCAGGTTAGAATTTACTTTAATGTAAGAACAGCCATACTGGGTCAGATCAAAGGTGCATCTAGTCCAGTATTCTGTATTTTAACAGTGTCCAATGCCAGGTGCCCCAGAGGGAATGAACAGAACAGGGAATCATCAAGTGATCCATCCCCTGCTGCCCATTTCCAACTTCTGGTAAACAGAGGCTCAGGACACCATTCCTGCCCATCCTTGCTAACAGCCATTAACAGACCTATGCTGAATTTATCTAGCTTTTTTGTACCTTGTTATAGTCTTGGCCTTTACGACATCCTCTAAGAAGGAGTTTCATGGGTTGACTGTTGTGTGGAAAAAAAAAAATCCTATTTTTGTGGGGGTTTTTTAAACCTGGTACCTATTAATTTCATTTGGTGATCCCCACCCCTGTAGTTCTTACGTTATGGGAACAATAACTTTCTCCATACCACTCATGATTTTAGAAGACCAGTATCATATACCCCCTCAGCCTTCTCTTCTAAGCTAAAAGTACCTGTTTTATTAATCTCTCCTCATGTGAAAGCCGTTCCAAACCCCTATGTTGCCCTTTTCTGACCTTTTTCCAATGCTAAGATATCTTTCTGAGATGAGGTGACCACATCTGCATGTAGTATTCAAGATGTTGACATACCATGGATTTATTATAGAGGCCATGAGTTATTCTTTATCTTATTCTCTATCCCTTTTTAATGATTCTTAACACTTTGCTTTTTTGATTGCTGCTGCACACAGAGTGGATATTTTCAGAGAAAAATTTGCAACGAATCCAACATCTCTCTCGCATGGTAGCAGCTAATTAGTTCCCATCATTTTGTACATTTTGAGAGCTCCCTCGTGAAGCTCCTTACAGTCTGTTTTGGATTTATCTTCAGCAATTTTGTATCACCTGCAAATTCTGCCATCTCATAGCTTATCCCTTTCTCCAGATCATTTATGAATATGTTGAATAGGATTGGTCCCAGTACAGATCACTGTGGGCACCACTAGTTACCTCCCACCGTTATGAAAACTGACATTTATTCCTTCCCTTTGTTTCCTCTTTTTAACCTCATAACACCTCCATCTGGGACAGTTCCTCATATTTGTCTCCTAAAAAGAATGGCTGAGGTTTGGGATACTCTCTCATACTCAACCACAAAGATGCAAAAAATTCATTTAGTTTCTCCGCAATTATCTTACTTGAGTGGTAATGATATAGACTGTGCTTGGAACTGCTTTGAGGGCAGGGGACTGGACTTGATCTCTCGAGGTCCCTTCCAGTTCTAGTATTCTATGACTGAGAGCTCCTTTAGCCTTTTGATGTCTACTGGCCCCTGCTGGTTGTTTAGCAGGCTTCCTCCATCTGATGTACTTAAAAAAATTTTGCTATTACTTTTGAGTTTTTGGCTAGCTGTTCACATTCCTTTTTGGCATTCCTAATTATATTTTTACACTTCATTTGACAGAGTTCATGCTCCTTTCTGTTTTCCTCGCTAGGATTTAACTTCCATTTTTTAAATGATGCCTTTCTCTTTCTCTCTCAGCTTCTTTTACTTGGTGGTTGAACCATGGAAGCCCTTGTTTGGGTCTTTTATCATGTTTTTTAGTTTGAGGTATACATTGAAGTTGAGCTTTTATTATGATGTTTTTAAAGAAGACTATCACCCATTTCTAAACACATCTTTCAATTATTAAAAACATCTTTTAAAGCCTTTTCATCAAGTATGAAGAGAGAAGGGGCAAGTTCAGATCTCTGCAACAGATTTTCTTCTGTTCTTTATAAGCAGCGTTACTACGGAAAGGCTGCATCACAATATTAGATTTTGCAGTTTTTATTCTGAAAGTACCCAGGGTTCACTGTCACACTGACTTCTTCATGGAGTGAATTCAAGATAGTATGGGCATGCAAACAGTTTTGCTGTAATCTAACTCCTACTGCCCACAGGATCACATTCCTCTGTTTTCCACATATTGAGCTGCAAGGGCTTAATCACAGTCTTTCAAGTTCAGCTCTAAAGCTGTATATTCTCTGTTGGTGAGCATGGAGGAGAAATATACCATGAGACCATCTCTTCTGCCAGGTGTCTCAGCAGCAATCTGGGCTCAACAGGCTCAGCAACTGTGCTTTGCTGGTTTCATGAAGAGAGCATGGATTCATTAATCACTAACATTTTAGCAGATGCCATCACCACATGTCCAGAAGTTAATTTTTCCAATCACTTCTCCTTTTCCTTTCCTTCCATGCCCATCCAAATTAGGTTGTGAACATGTCTCTTGGTGAGTACTATTTGTGTGTCAACTCTCAAAGGCTGGAGGTTTTGAGTTAGCTGTGTGACTAAGGTATATAGCCAGGGGAAAAAAAATATCTCTCTAATTCTGCTATTCTCAGATAACATCTCACAAGATTGTCACTGGAAGTATGTGAACTCTTGGCAGGAGGCAGGATGGAAAATCCTCCATCCAAAGCTTTTGCTTTTTTGGGGGGGCCTTCCAAGTGGCAGCTAAGCAGCTCCTGCCTAGTAGTCATGTATCACCATCTACCACAACCTCACAGCTCCTTAGCTTTCTAGTCAGTTCTGAATTGTGTAGGAAGCAACTGATCTTCAAACTAAACCAATTATTTAAAAAACCTTAAAAGTAAAAAGATTTCTGAAAGCCATCCAAAGCTTTTGCTTTTTTGGGGGGGCCTTCCAAGTGGCAGCTAAGCAGCTCCTGCCTAGTAGTCATGTATCACCATCTACCACAACCTCACAGCTCCTTAGCTTTCTAGTCAGTTCTGAATTGTGTAGGAAGCAACTGATCTTCAAACTAAACCAATTATTTAAAAAACCTTAAAAGTAAAAAGATTTCTGAAAGCCTCATAT